TCCAAAAGAAGGTCCTAGGCCCCACAGCAGCTTGCATTGCTTCACTGCTGGGCTTCATCTGGGCACCTGCAAACCCCAAACAAAGAAGAGGAATCTCTCCATAGCTCCTGCTGGGTAGCCTCAGGCAGAGGCTAAATTAGCACCTCCTTAGAGATCCAAGAGCCAGTGTACCCAGTGGTCAGAGTGGGACCATCCAGATTACAACTCCTCAGAACCATAAGGGACACACTCAGGGGGCAGACTCACTGAGCACCAAAGCCCCACTGAAGCAAGTCTTGCCCCATAAGGGTGTCTCCAGTTCAGAAGTTCTCCCACTGCAGACACAGCTGATTTTCACAGCCAATTGGCCTGGAGGTCAATTCCTCCCAGTGATACCTACAGCAATCAAGGCTTAACTACAAGACTGTGCACAAAGCCCACAAAGGGGTGCATCAAGAGTGTCCACCTCAGGTAATTGGGGAGGCTGAGCCACTGGGCCCTATAGGACACCTAACACAGAAAGCCACTCTATCAACACAGGGAAGCATAAAAAATGCGGAGACAAGTCACAAATGACAGAATTGGAAGAAAGCAAACTACTGGATATAGAGTTCAAAACCACACTTTTAAGGTTTTTCAAGAATTTTCTAGAAACCACCGATAAATTTAGTGAGACCCTCAAGAAATCTAGTGAGACCGCCGATAAATTTAGTGAGACCATCAAGAAATCTAGTGAGACCGCCGATAAATTTAGTGAGACCATCAAGAAATCTAGTGAGACCCTCGAGGTTATGAAAAAGGACCAACTAGAAATTAAGCATACACTGACTGAAATAAAGGATATTATGCAGAGTTCCAACAGCAGGCTAGAGGATCGCAAGAATCAAGTCAAAGATTTGAAATACGAAGAAGCAAATAACACCCAACCGGAAAAACAAAAAGAAAAAAGAATCCAAAAATGTGAAGATAGTGTAAGAAGCCTCTGGGACAACTTCAAGCGTACCAACATCCAAATTATGGGGGTGCCAGATGAAGAGATTGAGCAAGATATTGAAAACCTATTTGAAGAAATGACAGAAAACTTCCCCTACCTGCTGAAAGAAATAGACTTCCAAGTCCAGGAAGCGCAGAGAACCCCAAACAAAAGGAATCCAAAGAGGACCACACCAAGACACATCATAATTAAAATGCCAAGAGCAAAAGACAAAGAGAGAATCTTAAAAGCAGCAAGAGAAAGATAGTCAGTTACCTACAAGGGAGTACCCATACGACTGTCAGCTGATTTCTCAACAGAAACTATGCAGGCCAGAAGGGAGTGGCAAGAAATATTCAAAGTGATGAATAGCAAGAACCTGCAACCTAGATTACTTTACCCAGCAAAGCTATCATTCAGAATTGAAGGTCAGATAAAGAGCTTCACAGATAAAGAAAAGCTAAAGGGGTTCATCACCACCAAACCAGTATTATATGAAATGCTGAAAGGTATCCTTTAAGAAGAGAAAGAAGAAGAAAAAGGTAAAGATACAAATTATGAACAACAAATACACATCTATCAACAAGTGAATCTAAAAATCAAGTGAATAAATAATCTGATGAACAGAATAAACCGGTGAATATAATAGAATCAGGGGCATGGAAAGGGAGTGGACTGACTATTCTCAGGGGGGAAAGGGGAGTGGGGGGTGTGGGAAAAGACTGGACAAAAATTGTACATCTATGGATGAGAACAGTGGGTGGCGGGGGTAAGGGCAGAGGGTGGGGTGGGAACCGGGTGGAGGGGAGCTATGGGGGGGGAAAGGAGGAACAACTCTAATAATCTGAACAATAAAGATTTAATTTTAAAAAAAGAAAAAAAGATAAGGGTGGGGGGAAGCACATGACAAAATCCAACACACATTTTTGATAAAAACTCTAAGCAAAGTGGGAATAGAGAGGTCATATCTCAACATAATAAAGGTCATATATGACAAACCTACAACCAACATCATACTCAATGGGCAAAAACTAAACCAATTTCCCTAAGAAGAAGAACAAGACAAGGATGTCCGCTTTCACCACTCTTACTCAACATAGTACGGAAAGGCCTAGCCACAGCGATCAGACAAGAAGAAGAAATAAAAGGCAGCCAAATTGGAAAGGAGGAAGTAAAACTCTCATTCATAGATGACATGATATTGTACATAGAAAACTCTATAAAGATTCCACCAAAAAACTACTAGATTTAATAAATGAATTTGGCAATGTAGCAGGATACAAAATTAACACCCAGAAATCTATGGCTTTTTATTTATATTTTTATTGATTTCAGAGAGGAAGGAAGGGGGAGAGAGAGAGAAACATAAATGATGAGAGAGAACCATTGTTTGGCTGCCTCCTGCACATCCCCCCTGGGGATCAAGCCCTCATCGTAGTCATATACCATAACCGGGAATCCTACTGTAACCTCCTGGTTCATAGGAGGCTGATGCTCAATCACTGAACCACACCAGCTGCTCTTGATGGCATTTTTATACACCAATAATGAATTTTCAAAAAGATAAATTAAAAAAACAATCCATTTACCATTGCAACAAAAAAATTAAGTTATTTAGGAATAAGCTTAACCAAGGAGGTAAAAAGACTTGTACTCAGAAAACTACAGGACGTTGAAAAAAGAGATAGAGGAAGATATAAACAAGTGGAATAATATACTGTGTTCATGGATTGGTAGAATCAACATCATTAAAATGTCCATACTGCCAAAAACAATCTACATATTCAATGCAATTTCTATTAAAACAGATCTAGAACAAATATTCCAAAAAGTTATATGGAACCAAAAAAAGACCCACAATAGCCACAGCAATCCTAAGAAGAACAAAGTTGGAGGGATCACAATACCAGATATAATGTTACACTACAAAGCCACCATAATCAAAACTGCCTGGTACTGGCACAAGAGCAGACATATAGACCAATGGAACAGAACAGAGAACCCAGAAATCGACCCAAGCCATTACACTCAATATTTGACAAAGGAGGTAAGAACATACAGTGGAATCAAGACAGTCTCTTCAGTAAGTGGTGTTGGGAAAATTGGACAGATACATGCAAAAAAAATGAAACTAGACCACCAACTTACACCATGAACAAGAGTAAACTCAAAATGGATAAAAGACTTTCATGTAAGTTGGGATACCATAAAAATCCTAGAAGAAACCATAGGCAGCAAAATCTCGGACATCTCTCATGACAATATGTTTACGGATACATCTCCTAGGGCAGAGGAAACTAAGGAGAAAATAAACAAATGGGACTACATCAAAATAAAAAGCTCCTGCACAGCTAAAGAAATGATTAACAAAATGAAAAAGGAGCCCACTGTATGGGAGAACATACTGGTATTTGGCAATGATAAACCTAATAAAGGGTTAATATCTAAAATATATAAGAAACTCATACAACTTAACAAAAGGAAGACAACCAATCCAATTTAAAAATGGGCAAAGGACCTAAATAGACACTTCTCCAAAGCGGAAATACAGACAGCCAAGAGACATATGAAAAAATGCTCAAAGTCACTGATCATCAGAGAGATGCAAATTAAAATGACAATGAGTTATCACCTCACACTTGTCAGAATGGCTACCATCAACAAATCAACAAAACAAATGACAAGTGCTAGTGAGGATGTGGAGAGAAGGAAAACCTAGTACACAGATGGTGGGAATGCAGACTGGTGCAGCCATTATGGAAAACAGTATGGAGTTTCCTAAAGAATTTAAAAATGGAATTGCAAGTTGACCCAATGATTCTGCTTCTGGGAATATATCCTAAGAAACCATAAACACCAATCAGAAAGAATGTTTGCACCCCTGTGTTCATAGCAGCACTATTTACAATAGCTAAGATCTGGAAACAGCCCAAGTGCCCATCAGCAGATGAGTGGATAAAAAAAAAAAGCTGTGGTACATTTACCCCATGAAATACTACAGTAAAAAGAACATCTCTTATCCTTTGAGACAGCATGGAAGGACCTGGAAAGTATTATGCTAAGCAAAATAAGCCAGTCAACGAAAGACAAGTATGATATGATCTCACTCATATGTACAATCTAATGAACAAAATAAGCTGATGGACAAAATAGATCCAGAGATACAGAAGCATAAAACAGCCTGTGGGATCTCAGAGGGAAGGTGGGGGAAGGTGGGTGGGTGGGAAGATATCAGCCAAAGAACTTGTATGCATATATGCATAACCCATGGACACAGACAATAGGGTGGTGAAGGCCTGGGATGGGGGGCAGGGGCTGGCTAGAAGAGGTCAATGGGGAGAAAAATGGGACATACATAATACTTTCAACAATAAAGATTTAGTTTTTTTAAAAAATAGCCTAGAAAGAAATGGGTGAAGGTTCATTTCTTAATTGATTTAAATTCATAGTTTGAGAATTTGTCTACATTTAATTTTTTTTTAACTTCAACTTTTCTTTTTATTTGCTTTCCACATGAGGATTGGTACAAATGACTCTGAAAGGTAGGTTTTTTAATGTGCTCAGTCTCAGTACTATTACCAATTTATAATTGGTAGAAATGTAGGTCTTTAAATAATTTTAATGCTTTAAAATGTATAAAGAGAAAAGGGACAACATATATATATTGTAAGTAGCTTTTTAAGAGTTACGTACTTGAAAATGTTGCCATAAACTATCAATAATACAGAAAGTTATGAATAAAAATTTAAATGAAGAATGAGGGTAGTCAGAATATGTATCTATTAAGTAAGCTGGCATCCTTTGGGAGAAAAAAAATGATCCAAATTGTAGTAATAATGTTAATTCTTGCATATCTGATTCATACAAGAGTCTTACATAATCTGAGGAAAAACATAACATTAGGAGTTAATAAAATAAAAAGAATTTCAGTTACTATTTAACAAATACCTAGTATATATTTTATAACAAAAACATGGCATCTATTTTTTAGGTTGTTTTGAAAAATCCAGTAGACACACATCTAAATTCATATTTGCCATCTTTTTAGCTTCAGAAGATCATAAGTAAAGAGGATGACTTGAAGACAATAACTAATGAAACAAAATGCCAGGTATGTACAGATAATGTAAACATTTCCAAACAGATTGGCATTATATTAGTTTCTCTATTCTGTTTGTTCAAATAAGTATTCCCAAATACTTGGAAAAATTATTAGTAATTTATTTTTTCTAAATATTTAAGTAGATGTGCTACATTCATATGGTGTAGATTTGATAAGGTTCACAAGAGTATGTATATAGGGTAGACTTTTTCTCCCAGTCACCACTTCTCCCTGAGCAATGTGTTCTGTCACTTTACCATGTATTCTTCCAGGGGTATTTTATGCATATAAATAATTAAATATATCTATATATCTTTTTTCCATTTTTATATAAGCAGTAGCATCCTATATAATAAAAAGGTAATATGCAAATTGACCACCATGCCCTCACACAAGATGGCTGCCCCCATGTGGTCAAAGATGGCCGGCAAGGGAGGGCAGTTGTGGGCAATCAGACCAGCAGGGGAGGGCAGTTAGGGGCGACCAGGCCAGCAGGGGAGGGCAGTTGGGGGGGACCAGGCCAGCAGGGGAGGGCAGTTGGGGGCGACCACGCCGACAGGGGAGGGCAGTTGGGGGCAATTGGGCCAGCAGGGGAGGGCAGTTGGGGGCAATCAGGCCGACAGGGGGAGCAGTTAGGCATCAATCAGGCTGACGGGAGTGGTTAGGGGGTGATCAGGCTGGCAGGCAGGCGAGCGGTTGCGAGCCAGCAGTCCCGGATTGTGAGAGGGATGTCCGACTGCCGGTTTAGGCAGTCAGACATCCCCCGAGGGGTGCCAGATTGGAGAGGATGCAGGCTGGGCTGAGGGATCACCCCCCCCCTCCAGTGCACGAATTTTGTGCACCAGGCCTCTAGTACAGTGATGGTGAACCTTTTGAGCTTGGCATGTCAGCATTTTGAAAAACCCTAACTTAACTCTGGTGCCGTGTCACATATAGAAATTTTTTGATCTTTGCAACCATAGTAAAACAAAGATTTATATATTTTTTTAATATATTTTATTGCTTTTTACAGAGAGGAAGTGAGAGAGATAGAGAGTTAGAAACATCAATGAAAGAGAAACATCGATCAGCTGCCTCCTACACACCTCCTAATGGGGATGTGCCCACAACCAAGGCACATGCCCTTGACCGGAATCGAACCCAGGACCTTTCAGTCCGCAGGCCAATGCTCCATCTACTGTGCCAAACCGGTCAGGGCAAAGATTTATATTTTTGATATTTATTTTATATATTTAAATGTCATTTAACAAAGAAAAATCAACCAAAAAAATGAGTTCGTGTGTCACCTCTGACACGCGTGTCATAGGTTCACCATCACTGCTCTAGTACTATATACATTGTTTCCCACTCTCCTGTTTTTTTCTTAATATAGCTGAACACTGGGGGGAGGGGGGGAGGGAGTGAAACAGGACGTATTTAATACTTTCAACAATAAAGATTTAATATTTTTTAAAAATAGCTGAGTATCTCATAGTACTTTGATGTACCAATTTATGTAATCATTTCCCTTTTGAAAGATGTTTAAATATATCCAGTCTTTTGATATTACAAATAACGCTACAGTTAATAAGTCTAATTATATCATTTTATACGTATGTGAATATATCTTAGGGACAACTTCTCAGAAACTCAATTGCTGGGTCAAAAGGTATGAACATTTCTAAAATTTCGTTTACTGCTGAAGTCCACCTTAAGTATTTTGCGTATTGTAGGCCATGTTTTTCTTTCCTGAGCAAAGATGATTATAGATTATTATTATTATTATACAAAGTAACAGACAAAATGGCCTTTCTCTTTTCCACCTTTGTTGTTGTTGTTGTTGTTGTTGTTGTTGTTGTTGGTACAAGAGTCTTTTGTGGATATTGTGCTGAGAGTTCCAGGCTATAGGATCTATTTTGGTTATAATATTTGAAATTACTGTAACATTTTTATAGGAACCAAAAGTGAAAGAACCTGAAATTAACACAACCCTTCAGATACGTTTCTTTGGAAAAAGAGGAGAAAGAAAACTTCATTATAGAGAATTTCGAAGGTAAATGCAAATATTTATATTCATTTAGGGAAATTTTATAGATAAGTGAAGAAACAACTGAGTATGGTTGACCCTTAAAAAATGCAAGTTTGAACTGCGTGGGTCCACTTACACATGATTTTTAAAAATTCATATACTTATATTTTTAAAAATCCAAGTGTAAGTGATCTCACATTATTCAACTGTCCCTTCTTTTAGTCTTGAAAAAATTTATGTGGTGATACTTGTCCTCTCCTGCCTACTTTACAGAGTTGTGAGTAAATGTAAAAATAAACTATAGCCCTAGCCAGTTTTGCTCAGTGGATGGAGCGTCAGCCTGTGGACTGAAGGGTCCCAGTTTTGATTCCAGTCAAGGGCACATACCTCAGTTGCAGGTTTAATCACCTCCCTCCCCTCTTCTGGGCACATGCGGGAGACAACCAGTCAATGTGTCTCTCACATTGATGTTTCTGTCTCTCTCCCTCCCTTTCACTCTTTCTAAAAATCCATGGAAAAAATATCCTCAGGTGAGGATTAAAAAAAGAAAGTAAACTATCCTATATAATAAAAAGCTAATATACAAATAGACCGACGGTGGATGCACATTGACCACCAGGGGCAGATGCTCAATGCAGGAGCTGCCCCCTGGCGGTCAGTGCGCTCCCACAAGGGGAGCATCGCTCAGCCAGAAGCACTGAGCTGGGCTCATGGCTGACAAGCGCAGTGGCGGTGGCGGGAGCCTCTCCCGCCTCTGTGGCAGCGCTAAGGATGTCCGACTGCTGGCTGGAGCAGGCCTAAGCCATCAGTCAGACATCCCTCGAGGGCTCCCAGACTGCGAGAGGGTGCAGGTGGGAACAGACCAGGCTGAGGGACGCCCCCCCCCCTTTGTGCATGAATTTCATGCACCAGGCCCCTAGTAAATTCTAATAATTTTATAATCATCTAATAACAGAAAAGAGGCAATCTCTAATTCACGCAAATATTTTCCTTCCTAATCTTCAATTCTTTCCCCTTTCATTCACATTAGTATTCTTTCCCTACATGAAGTCTGAGGTGGATCTGATAATTACATGAAGCAGTGTATCTGAAGTACACAGAACATAAAACACAGTTGGCACTCAGAATATGTGCTGAACTCCTGTCAACTCAAATGATTTTCTTTCTTTTTTTATATATATTCTAGAGGCCCGGTGCACGAAAATCGTGCATGGGTGGGGTCCTTAGGCCTGGCCAGTGATCAGGGCCAGGCCGATTGGGGCCTGCCGGCCGGGGGGAGAGACAGAACACAGGCGGTTGGCCGCCAGCCCCAAGGAGGGAGCTGGCCCTCGGCCCCTCTGTGAAAGGGGCCACGTCCACCACCACCCACCCTGGCAGGGTTGGGAGAGGAGGTGATGGTCACTGGGCCAGGCACAGGAGGAATGGACACTGGCGCCCTGTCACCACGTGGTTCCCTGCCTCCCCCATCCTCCTTCGCTCACTGTTGCACCACCACCGCAGGTGGGTGGCAGGCCAATCGGGGCCTGCCGGCCAGGGGGAGAAACAGGGCATGGGAGTATGGCTGCAGACCCCAAGTGGGGAGCCAGCCCTTGGCCCCCCTGGGAAAGGGGCCGCGTCCGCCGCCACCCACCCCCGATTCCTCGTCCCAGCCCAGGGCCCAAACCCAATCAGACTATCAGGGCCTGCTGGCCGGAGGGGAAAAACAGCGGGAGGTTGGCTGTGGGAGTACACTGACCACCAGGGGGCAGCTCCTGCATTGAGCGTCTGTCCCCTGGTGGTCAGCGTGCATCATAGCGACCGGTCATTTGGTCATAACAGTTGCTTAGGCTTTTATATATAGAGATTTTTATTGATTTTTTTTACAGAGAGGAAGGGAGAGGGATAGAGAGATACAAACATTGATGAGAGAGAAACATCGATCAGCTGCCTTCCGCACACCCCCTACTGGGAATCGAGACTGCAACCAAGGCACATGCTCTTGACCAGAATCAAACCCAGGACCCTTCAGTCTGTGGAGCAACGCTCCATCCGCTGAGGCAAACCAGTCAGGGCTCAAATGATTTTCAAAGGCTAGTCTAGCAGCTTATTGCCCAGCTGCCAGATATCTCCTGAGGGCTTCTTCTCAGCTGTCCCTGGCTTCTTTCTGTTTGCATTTCCTCAGCTCTCTCTTTCTCACATATTTTCTTCAACATGGAGTATCCTCCATCTCTTTCCCAAAAGGTGTCTCAATTCAGCATGTAAAAAAAAAATCAAAACTAAAATAAAAGTGTTATTTTCTCAGTGTCTTTTCCCCCAGGGATTGACTGCTTAAATTTCAAAGGGAAGAGCTGTTACTGTTTTAAGTTAGAAAACTGGACACAACTTTTGTTTTTCATCATAGATGGCTAATATTTTTTTTAATTTTGTTATTTTTTTATTTGGAAATTCAATAGGTTTATTAGTTATTTAAGACAAAATAATGAGAATGTGTATGAATTTTATGCAGGACCCCTAATCCTTATAAAACCTTCTGGAAGTAGGCTAGTGTTGTAATTAAACTTGTCAAGAAACCCAAGGTTATAGAGCAATAAATAGTATATAGAGCAAAAGATACTAATGTTGCCCAGCCAGTGTGGTTCAGTGATTGTCAACCTGTGAACCAAGAGGTCACAGTTCGATTCCAGGTCAGGGCATATGCCCAGGTTTTGGGCTTAATCCCCAGTAGGGGGCTTGCAAGAGGCATCCAATCAATGATTCTCTCTCATCATTGATGCTTCTATCTCTCTCCCTTTCCCTCCCTCTCTGAAATCAATAAAAACATATACTTTTAAAAAAGATACTAATGTCAAGTTTAACCAAACAGTATTCCAGAAATAAAGGCATAGACTGTGAATTTATGTTGGTACCATTATGTGCAGCTATTGTATAGTTTTCTTCAAGCTACACTTGAAGAAGGCTGGCAAATCTCAAGGGAGCAGAGGATGTGGGCAAGAGAGTGGCTGAAGTAATAAAGAGTTGAGTGTCTAAGTGTTTTACATGTATTGTTTCACCTATCCTTAAACTTGGGACAAGTAGTCTTCGCTTTCATAACTGAGACTCAATGAGATAAAGGGACTTGGTTTGGGTTCATGTACCTTAGAAACTGAAGAGGAGATATTCACACCCAGGTTGGTCTTAAAAGGGAGAATAGCCTTGATTGGTAACACTTAAAGGTAATAGTGTGAATACTCCAGCAAGCCCATCTCAAGCTGCCAGATGTGAAGTGTGATGGCTTTGTTAGCAAGAACTGCTCTGTAGGGCTCCTGTGTTTGCCACTGTGTTAGCAAGGACTGGCTGCTGTGTTTGCAGTGACTGTCCTGTGTGTAAATGGCTGCTTGGTCTGCAATAAAGTCTCTTCTATATGCCTGCAGCTACTCATGTCTTCCAGTTCCCGGCGTCCACAGAGGTCCAGTCCCTAGCATGGGGCTTGGACCCAATTGGCATGGACAACACCTGCACAGTACACTCGCAGCTGCAGCAAGCCAGCTCCAGCACACCAGGGCCTAAGCACTCAGCTAAGGAAAAGCAGAATTTTCCCAGTTTCCAATTAGTTCACTGATTGATAAACTATTTAAATGTTTTCAGAGTGCATCTGGTGGCCATATGTATTATAAATTCTTCAATTCATATATTTATGTATAGTGTTGCAGATTTTATGTCATAACAAAATACATAATTTTGGACTTAGAAAGAGTATTACTATAAAACATTTTTACATTTGCCCTGGCCAGGGTGGCTCAGTTGATTGAACGTTGTCCTGTGCACTGAAAGGTCACTGTTCGATTCTGGTCAGGGCACATGCCCAGGTTGCGGGTTTGGTCCCCGGTAAGGGTGCATGCGGGAGGCAACCAATCAGTGTTTCTCTCTCACATCGGTGTTCCTTTTTCCCTCTCCCTTCCTCTCTCTCTCAAATTAATAAAAACATTTTTTTAAAAAAATTATGTTCTTCAAAAGTAGCATAATTAATTAAAATGAAGTAGCTTAAACCAGAACAATATACAGTTTAACAGCAATTAAGTTTATAATATTTCAGCCTCAGATAAAGCCTGAAGAAAAAAAGGAAAGGAACTAGTTATTCAAGTTCTTATGCCATATTTTCTACTTTCTAATTCATTGTACAGTTATTTGCAAGTAAAGCATTCTTTTAACAATCCTGATAAGAAAAACATTGAATGTTATCAGAGTATACAATATAGTAAAACAAAGGATGAAGCATATCAGTAGATTTTGTTGATCCATCAGTCCAAACCTAAAATGCTTTAAGTTTTGGATAAAATTCTGCTTTGACCCAAAAAGAAACATAGCACTAATAAATATGTGTATCAAATACATTTAAACTTTCACTTGTCACAGATAAAAGCATAAAATCAAACTCCTCCTCATGCTTCTAAGGTTTGGGGGATAAGTAGCAGCTTTCTTTCCTCTGTACTGGACTGTGTCTCTTTCACCCCGTGTATTCCCATTCTTTCAGTTTGTACATTTCTTAGGAAGCTGTTGATGACAGTTTGATCAAAGTGTCATCTATTTTTTTAAAAAATATATATTTTATTGATTTTTTACAGAGAGGATGGGAGAGGGATAGAGAGTTAGAAACATCGATGAGAAACATCGATCAGCTGCCTCCTGCATACCTCCTACTGGGGATGTGCCCGCAACCAAGGTACATGCCCTTGACCGGAATCGAACCTGGGACCCTTCAGTCCGCAGGCTGAGGTTCTATCCACTGAGCCAAACCGGTTAGGGCAAAGTGTCATCTATTTTTATAAAAATTTTTTTAAAAGAATGTTGAGTCACATAAACATATGTTCTTGTCCAAAGGTTATAAATATTTTTTGGTAAATCTAAGCTTTGATGCAAAGCCATTCATTGATTACATTGATCAAATTTGGTATCTGAAAACTATGAGGAACCATTAATTATTATTATGATTCTAAAAACAGTATCCCAACTGAATTTTAAGTCTCTCTGATTATTGGTAATTTTTCTATATTGGAAAAATACTGTTTTCTACTTTAAGTCTTTAAGTTTGTCAGAATGTAGGTTGCCAAGTAGAATGTGTGCAAACAAACCAACTATGGGGAGTCATATTGAAGCAGGTGTTGGACTTACCTAGCTGATCCACCGCCACAGTCCTTGACTGTGCTTCATGCAACTCATGAAGGTGCTGCATTCCCGCTAATGGTGTTACAGTTGAAAGCACTGGCCACTTCTGTCAGTTCTGTACTTTATCATTTAGGTTTATGGAGAATCTACAGACGGAGGTCCAAGAAATGGAATTCCTGCAGTTCTCTAAAGGTTTGAGTTTCATGAGGAAAGAAGACTTTGCAGAGTGGCTCCTTTTTTTCACTAACACTGAAAATAAAGACATTTATTGGAAAAATGTGAGAGAGAAGTTGTCAGCAGGAGAGGTTGGTATGCTTTTTTGTTATGCTTGAGATGAATATAAAATAATAAGTTAGACATTTATATAATTAATAAAAGTGACTTCCAAATTAACCAAGACTGAGCTGCTCTCTAGTATTTAAGTATAAAATCAAGTTGAGAATGTTCTCCACATACTATTTTCTTATTAAGGAACTATTGACTAAGTATCAGTGTAGCAGCCATGAGTTTGGCATTTTCAGTAAAGTCAGGAATAAGACAGGAATGTCCACTATCACTGCTGTCACTTTCTCTTGTTCTGGAAATCGTGGCCAGTACAAATTAACAAGATAAAAGAGTAATTATTGTATTATTTTCCATTCAAACAACTGTAAACCTACTTTTCCCCACCCTGTATATCGGAAGTAGCTGTCCTTTGTAAAAATACCAGGTCAGAAAATGTAGTAGATATGGGTGTGTATGTGAAATGCATGAAATGATGATTGCCAAACTATTAATAATGATTAATGTACAGTGAGATTTCAAGGGATTTTTATTTTATGTATTGTTTTTACTATATTCTGAAAAATTATTTTGAAAAGGACATGTATTTATATATAATTTTAAAGCTAATTTTATAGTGAGGAAAAAGATAATAAAATATCATCAAGATTCCATTTATAATTGCAATGGAAATATATAACAATTATAATTTAACTAGCTACTGAAGACCAACCATCCTCCCTCATCACCCCTAAAAGATTTCAGGGATGGAAGTCTCTAAGGGGAGAATGAGAGGCTAGTGAGCCAGGACAAGTGGAATAGGGAAACTGATACAGATAGTCAAACGGCCCAAGAACAAAAAGGTTGCTGGTTCAATTCCTAGTCAGGGCATATGTCTGGGCTGGGAGCTCAATCTCCAGTTGGGGGCTTGCAGGAGGTAGCCACTCTGACATCGACGTTTCTCTCCCCCCGCCCTCCCTTCCTCTTTCTCTAAAAATCAAATTATTAAAAAAAATTTTAGCCTGGCCAGTGTGGCTCAGTGGTTGAGCATCGACCCATGAACCAGGAGGTCATGGCTCAATTCCTGGTCAGGACACATACCCGGGTTTCAGGCTCAATCCCCAGTATAGGACGTGCAGGAGGCAGCCAATCAATAATTTTCTCTCATCATTGATGTTTCTTTCTCTCCCTCTCTCTTCCTCTCTGAAATAAAAAATATATATTTTTAAATAATAAATAATAAAAATAAATTAAAAATAAAAACATTTAAATATATATTAAAAATATTTTTTTAAAGAGCAAATGGGTTACACTTCTCCCCAATCAGAGGGCAAATAGCTTAAATCACTGTGCTCAGAGAGATAGAAAGGAGAAATCCAATTAGTGCCATTTGCCAGCCACACCCAAGGACAGATGAAGTTAGGGAATAAGTCTACTTTTGGTGCATCAGCAAAAAAATTTTATATTGAGATCCTCCCCCAAGACATCCCCTAAAGTACCAGCCTTTAAAAACCCTTAAAACCTGATGCCCCAGCACCCACTTACCCTCCTGGGAGCACACCTGTGCCTTTCCCTTCCCTGTTTTCTTCCCCCACAGGCATGCATCTCCTAAACTCTAAGGGACCCCAGGAGACTTGCAACCTGGGGAGCAGTGGGCAGTGGCAGCTCCTCCCAGGCTAACCCCCTCAAAGTCCCTTTTCTCTGGCTCAACCTGTCCTCAAAGTCCCTTTTTCTCTGGCTCTCCAGTGAGCTAAAGCAACCCCGCCCAGGCTCTCTCTGTTGCTTCTTCTATCCTAAGCCCTTCCGTGTTTCACTCACCCCAGCTTTAATAAACATACTCTCAAAATGGAAAAAATTAATTAACTAGAAATATGTGAAAACTTTAAAGTTTTGATGAATGTGAAAGAAAATTTAACCTAATTATAGAGACATTCCCTGTGATTGCATAGAAAGTCGTGGCATTATAAATGCAGTTCTTCCTTAAATTAGTCTATAAGTGGGATGGTCATACCAGTCAGAACAACCTGTTTGCTACAGTTACAAACTAACCCTGAAATCTCCTTGGCTGACACAAGAAAGGTTTATTTTCTGACTATACCACATTTCCATCATGAGAGGTGGGAGGTCACCCACAAGGTGCTCAGGAACCCAGACTTTTCGAGGCTCTGTCATCTTGGTGTTCCACCATGTGGGAAAAAAAAAAAACTTCTCAGAGGCTGGAGTAAAAAAAGAAAGAAGTGAGTCCTTTTCTGATAATTAAATGTTTTGTCCTGGAAACATGATGACCCTTGGCTGCTGGCCATACTGGTCACACATGACCTGATCTAACTGCAAGAAGGCACAGAAGTGTGATCCTTTTTATGTGCAGGAATTACAAGAGAACCAGCCACTGCTGTACACTATGGGTTTCAATAAAAATGCCATAATAGAGTTTATATGAAAAGAATGCTGAAGAGGCCAGGGGGGATAAAGGAAGTCTCTGTACCTTCCCCTCAATTTTGCTGTCAACCTAAACCCACTTTTAAAAAATAGTCTTTTTTTTAATAATGCCAAGATATTAAAATATATCATCAACCATTGGTAACTAAAACAGTTACAATGAATTTGACAGACATATCAGTTGAACAGAATATAAAGTCCAGAGTTATAGATAGACCCAAATACACATGGAAATTTAGTACATGTAAACTTATATTACAAATTACTTGAGTAAAAGAATTATTTTTTTTAAATATATTTTATTTTTTACAGAATGGAAGGGAGAGGGATAGAGAGTTAGAAACATCGATGAGAGAGACACATCGATCAGCTGCTTCCTGCACACCCCCTACTGGGGATGTGCCCGCAACCAAGGTACATGCCCTTGACCAGAATCGAACCTGGGACCCTTCACTCCCCAGGCCGACACTCTAGCCAGTGAGCCAAACTGGCTAGGGCGAGTAAAAGAATTATTAATAAATGACATTAGGACATCCACTGGCCATCTGAGAGAGAATTAAAGGTAAGTCTCTATCTCACTCATTACTCTGAAATAAATTCCAGATGGATCAAAGAATTAAATGTTAAAGAGTAAAAGGAAACTGAGTAAAAATAGAAGAAAATTTGAAAACAGTCATTTTAAAGTGGAGTATACCTATCTTTCTAAACAGTCATCTTAAAGTGGGGTATACCTATCTTTCCAGAAGCTTTTAAGGTGGGGGTTTATTTTATGTATTGTTTTTACTATACATAAAACAATATGTATAGTAAAGGTTTTTTTGGCAGGTGCCAGGACTAACGATCACTTAGCTGCCCAGGTACCAAAAAATCATGCTTCTGAAATCTCTTGATGTCAATTCCCCACATAGAGCAATCAAACTGCCCTACATGTGCCACTAACAACAGAAGCTTTTTTTTTAAAGGAAAAATTATTAAATTATTACCTAAAAATTAAAAATCTGCTGACTCCCCTCATTTCCCCCCACAAAAGTTATAATGAAAATAAAAATAAAAATTAACAAAATGAGCAATATTGGCATCACAATAATAGACCAATGTCTTTAATTTATAATGGAGTCTTTAAAAAATCAAGAACTTTGAATGATCTGACATTTCACCCTATTTAATATATAATGCCATAATAAATGGCAGATCAGAAATTTTGACATAGGTCCATCTACTCCAAAACCCAGTGCTATGTCCACTGACAAAACTAAGCAGTAAATTTATGAGGTGGGCCACTTAACAGGATGTATTAGTCTCCTCGGGCTGCCATAACAGAATACCACAGACTGGGTGGCTTAAAGCACAAATTTATTTTCTCACAAGTTTGGAGCCTGTAAGTCCAAGATCAAGGTTGCCAGCAGGGTTGGTGTCTGGTGAGGTCTTCCTCCTCCCCACACGCAGAATGAGAGCACTCTGGTATCTCTTCTCATCAGGACATTAATAGGCATGTCAGATTAGGGCCCCAGTCTATGACTTCCCCTCTCCAAGTATAGTCACATTGGGGATTATTCAACACAGGAATATTTAAGAGACAGACTCAGTCCATAACACAGGAACCCCCCACCCCCTCAAGTCGTACACTGCACAACTTCAGGCAGCCCATTCACAACAGCGTATAGTCTGCACAGTCATACCCAGTTTCCTGCCAATCTTTTGGGGTTCCTCCTCATCTCTAAAATCTATAATTTTGTTATTCTGCGTCTCAAACTTTTTAATAGACTTGTTTAGGAAGATAGAAGTTCATAAGCTTTATGATAGAAAAGAGGACTCACACTTTGTTCAGTTTTATAATGCAATTATAAAATTGTAATAAAAACTCCCTTTCGTTTTATTAGAGCATTAGTTTGGATGAGTTCAAGTCATTTTGTCATTTTACAACCCACTTGGAAGACTTCTCTATTGCCATGCAGATGTTTAATTTAGCTCATCGCCCTGTCAGACTAGGTAAGTTATATGAATCATTTAATTTTTATCATTTTTTCAACAAGTTATCAACCAAGGAGTCAGTTACAATAAAAGCAATTGATTGGCCTTTTACTTAATTCATTGTGGTTATTCTGAATTTAATACTCTATTTTCTTTTACTTTCTTATTTTTTCCCTGAGAAGGGGAAATGTTTAAATTACTTGTGTTTGAAAATATTGGTTAAATTAAAACAGCCACTTATCTTACAGTTACTTTCATGGCACTTCTCAGCCAAATTTATTATTTGAATAAATAATAAATAATTGAATAAATTCTTGATGTCTATTTTTTGTTTTTTGTTTTTGTTTTTTTAAACATATTTTTATTGATTTCAGAGAGGAAGTGAGAGGGGGGAGAGAGAGAAATATCAATGATGAGAAAGAATCATTGATCGGCTGTCTCCTGCACGCACCCTACTACACAGGTCAATCCCGAAACCCGGGCATGTGCCCTGACTGGGAATCTAACTGTAACCTCCTGGTTCATATGTCGATGCTCAGCCACAGAGCCACATCAGCAGGGCTATTTTTGGTTTTTATTTACTTCCCATATAGCAAATATTTAGATTATTTTTACTTCTCAAATTATGAAAAATTAGTCCTAGCTGGTTTGGCTCAGTGGATAGAGTGTCGGCCTGTGGACTGAAGGGTTTGATTGTGGTCAAGGGCACATGCCCAGGTTGTGGGCTCAATCCCCAGTAGGGGACGTGCAGGAGGCAGCCGATCAATGATTCTCTCTCATCATTGATGTTTCTCTCTCTATCCCTTTCCCTTCCTCCCTGAAATCAATAAAAATACTTTTTTAATATGAAAAGTTAGATTAATTTTACTTACACTGTTTCACATGGTAAATGAGTTGTTTTATGTTTGTTTTTTTTAGCAGAGTTTAAGAGAGCTGTGAAAGTAGCTACAGGGCAGGAGCTCTCAAACAATATTTTGGACACTGTCTTCAAGATCTTTGATTTGGATGGTGATGAATGTCTTAGTCATGGAGAGTTTCTTGGAGTGTTAAAAAACAGGATGCACCGAGGTTTATGGGTAACAGATTTTGAGTTTTTAAATGGATGGTGTTAAACGTAGAATTTGAGGAAATGTATAATCTCTAGTAGAGTTTTCATCATTTATAAAGAGATAACTTCTCCAGACGGGATCTAATGTTTTTTATTTTTTGCCTTTTTTAAAAATCTGAATCTAATCAGAAACCACTATTCAGAAATCATAGCCTAGAATTTACTTCAGGCTTTGCAGTTAGACACACCTAGATTCAAATCTCATCTCTATCACCTGTTAACTGCCAAATCTTACAAAACCACTTAATTTTTCTGAGCCTTTAATTCCTCATTTGTACAATGAGGAAACTAATAGAATCTACCAGAAAGAATTACTATAAGAATTAAGTGTAAAATACTTAGTATAGTGGCTGAGACACTTGCAGTAGATGTTAGCTAATTATATCATTATTCACTCAAATTCACATATTGGTCTATAACTGGGACAGATCAAACCCAAAATTTAATATACATAAGAATCTGCTAAAACCCCTTAGAAAGGCAGCGTGCAGGTTGGAAACCCAGATCTAAAGAGGACCACATGGAGGGCAGTAAGGGACAGCAGCAGTTTGTCCCAGATAAAGAGGACCACATGGTAAGTAGGCAGTTAGGCCAGAAGAGAGGATGAGAGAGAAAGAAAATATGTTGGGTTCACAAAAAACAACCTATTGACCCAGTGATCCCACTTCTAGGAATATATCCCAAGAAACCAGAAACACCAATCAGAAAGGATATATGCATCCCTATGTTCATAGCAGCACAATTTACAATAGCTAAGATTTGGAATCAGCCTAAGTGCCCATCAGCAGATGAATGGATTAAAAAACTTTGGCACATCTACACAATGGAATACTATGCTGCTGTAAAAAGGAAGGAACTCCTACCATTTGCAAAAGCATGGATGGAGCTGGAGAGCATTATGCTAAGTGAAATAAGTCAGTCAGAGAAAGATAAATATCACATGCTCTCACTCATTTGTGGATTATGATGAACAACGTAAACCGATGAAAAAAAACAGATGTAGAGACAGAAAAGCATCGATCAGATGCGCAAAACTCAGAGGGAAAGCAGGGGAGGGTGGGGGTGAGGGGGAAAGATCAACCAAAGGACTTGTATGCATGCATATAAGCATAAGTGATGGATGTGGACAACAGGGGGTGAGGGTGAGGGCAGGATTGGGGGGATGAGGGGACATTGGGGGGATAAGGACACATTTGTAATATCTTATTCAATAAAGTGGGGGGAAAAGAAAAAAAAACCTATTTACAATTTAGAAAATCACGTTCATTTCCTGCCACAAATATTACTTATGGAAAATTAACAAATAGGATTTCAGTTAGCAAACACGTCTTACAAGCTTTGTAGTCATCCAGTATCTCATAGTTAATAATCATATTCCTGGAGATTAAACTAACCTTTTCAGTTAACAATTTAATATATCCAGGAGTCTCTATCATTTCTCAAAAAACATTGAAGAGAAGAGCTGTAAGCCTGGCCAGCATGGCTCAGTGGTTGAGCATTGACCTATGAACCAGGAGGTTACAGTTCGATTCCCAGTCAGGGCACATGCCCAGGTTACCGGCTTGATCCCCAGTAGGGGGGGTGTGCAGGAGGCAGCCAGTCAATGATTCTCTCTCATCATTGATGTTTCTATCTTTTTCTCCCTCTTCCTTCCTCTCTAAAATCAATTAAAATATTTTTTTAAAAGAGAAGAGCTGTAAATCAATGATAGGAAAAAAAACATGCATAACCTAAAGTAGACTTTTGCTTCCATTTGGCGGATTTCCAGTAGTGCTATGCTCCTGTGCTCCCAGTGTTGTCCAACTTTCACTTTCTTGTTTAGTTGAGAAGAAATAATAACCACATAGTACTTTTTTTTTTTTATCCTCACCTAAGGATATATTTTCTCCATTGATTTCTAGAGAGTGGAAGGAAGGGAGGAAGGGGGAGAGAGAGAGAGAGAGAGAGAGAGAAAGAAACATCAACGTAAGAGAGGCACATCAATTGGTCACCTCCCCCACGGGCCCCTACTGGGGCTGGGGAACCTGCAACTGAGGTATATGTTCTTGACCAGGAATCAAACCCGTGACCCTTTGGTCCGTGGGCCGATGCTCTAACCACTACCAGCCACAGCAACCACACAGTACTTTTAATTCACAAAACACTTAAGATGAATTATATTATTTCTTCTTAAGGCTTCTCATCAAATATATTGTGACCTATAGTTTCTTTTTAATTTTAGCCAAGGTTAAATCAAAATTTTAGGCTTACTTTATTCCACATAGCTAAATAAAATACACCAGGAGAGGGGAAATGTTATAAAAGAAAAACATTAAATAATTACATTTTTAAACCAATATATTCAAAATTAAAAAATCAAAGTTTTCCCTTTCTTATGAGGGAGAAATCTCTCCATTCCTTGGTTATCCTGTGGACATTCTTTTTTTTTCCTTTTTTTTCTTTTGTTAATCCTCACTGGAGGATATTTTTCCCATTGATTTTAGATAGAATGGAAGGAAGAGAAAGAGACAGAAACATCAATGTGAGAGAGACATATCAATTGGTTGCCTCCTGCACATGCCCCAACCAGGGCCAGGGATCGAGCCTGCAACCAAGATACATGCCCTTGACCAGAATTAAACCCAAGACCCTTCACTCCTCAGGCCGACACTCTAACCATTGAGCAACTGGCTAGGGCTCCTGTGGATATTCTTGCAACACATTCACTTTTATTTTTATGCTTATTGTAAGGCCAGTATCAATTCTACAGTTCTGTTGCAATCACTTTTTATAACATAATCCACTTCAATTTGATTTCGAAGGAGTATGGGAGATAAATAGTAACAGTACATACCTGAAATCATGTTTAACCTTAAAGAGAATGACTCCTTAATTTTTACTTTTGGTTAACAGGTACCACAACAACTAAGTGTTCAGGAATACTGGAAATGTGTGAAAAAAGAAAGCATTAAAGGAGTAAAAGAAGTTTGGAAACAAGCTGGAAAAGGTCTTTTTTAGGAAAAGATCATGTGGGAATTCTGCTGTGAATGTCAGAATTTGGATTTTTTTTTTAAATACCAGATGTTTATCTTTTTAAGTCTTCATTGATTTCCTTTGTAATATAAAGACACCTTTTTTTGCTTCTGATTCAGTAATTTCTTAAGATCTCATTAACAAACTTTGTAAAAAGAAAGCATACTTTTAAGAAAACAGATATAGGACTCAGTAAGAAAGGCCTAGGATTGAAGTAATGCTTTGTACTTTGATAAAATGGAAAGCCTAGTTATTCACTGATTTCTTAGACACAGTAGCACATGCTCTCTGGAAGGGTCAACAAGAATTTACAGAAACAAGTAATTGATATACAAGGCCAGTATAAATTCTGCAAGCCCTGATGTTCCTAGTAGAGCAAATTAAGTTAACAAATCAGGTTTTCTTCATGTGTATCTTATATCACATAAACTTCTTGTACATTTTACTTCAGTTAGCTATATATTAGTTGACTTTAAAATAACCTGTAAATTTCAATATTGGACCTGGAAACAGAATAAAGTATTTACAAAGATATAAAAATTACTAAGATGTGTTTCATTTTACATGTGTTGTTCGAAAACCACCTTGTTTTAAATGTGAATACTCTAGTCCTTTGCCAGCCTCATTAGTTTATATTCTTAAAAACTAGAGTAATTGGGAGAATCTTTTTTTATATATATTTTTATTTATTTCAGAGAGGAAGGGATAGGGAGAGAGAGAAAGAAACATCAATGATTAGAGAGAATCATTGATTGGCTGCCTTCTGCATGCTCCACACTGGGGATTGAGCCTGTAACCCAGGCATGTGCCCTGAGCGGAATCAAACTGTGACCTCCTGGTTCATAGGTCGATGCTCAACCACTGAGCCACACCGGCCGGACTAATTGGGAGAATCTTGATCACAAGATCAGGGTCTCTTGGGATTTATTGAGTTGTAAGTAAATGTTTAAAATGGCCCTAGAGCCCTAGCGCATTTGGCTCAGTGGATAGAGCGTCGGCCTGCGAACTGGAAGGTCCCAGGTTCGATTCCGGTCAAGGGCACATGCCCGGGTTGTGGGCTCGATCCCCAGTGGGGGACTTAAAGGAGGCAGCTGATCTATGATTCTCTCTTATCATGGATGTTTCTATCTCTTTCTCCCTCTTCCTTCCTCTCTGAAATCAATAAAAATATATTTTAAAAAAATAATAAAAAATAAAATGGCCCTAGAAATTAATTGGCATTAAATATAAAATTACATAAATATAAAATGACATCTTTTAAACATGATAAATAAAAATTATTTTTAAAACATATGCTTCTCAAATAAGAATATTTCAAATACTGAAAACATGTTTGACTCCTTGGGTAAATTGCTGATTACAAGCCTGGGGCAGGGAAAGCTCAAGAGGAGCCTGGAGCACCATATGCATAGAAGTAAGGAAGTACTCAAAAAATAACGAGAACATGTCAAAGGACGAGCCAACCTGAAGGGGTGCCCCCCTTCAGTCTGGTACAATTTGAGCAAAATCATTAATGTTACTAATGAATTATAAACTATAGAATAAAATAAGAAATATGATCTTATACTGAATATTGATTGATTAATGGGGCAAGGGAAACCTCTCCCTAATGATTTTTGAAGGGAAAGGCCTTGAGATATTTTAAATCTGATAACTTGGAAACTCTCCTAATTTAATGCTTGAGATTGACAAGTGGTAAAAGCTTCTGTTCATCAACAGACGAATGGAAAAGCAAAATGTGGTACATATATACAATGGAATATTAGCCATAAGCAGAAATGAAGTTCTGACACAGCCTACCACATGGATGAATCTTAACATTATGCTAAGTAAAATAATCCAAATACAGAAGGACTAATGTACGATTCCCCTTATGTAGGTACCTAGATTAGGCAACTTCCTAGAGATGGAAAGTGAATTCGAAGTTACCAGAGGGATGGGGGGAGGAAGAATGGCAAGTTACTGCTTTACAGAATTTTGGTTTGGGGTGATGAAAAATTTTGGAAATATATAATGGTGATGATTATATAATATTGTGGATGTCAGTGCCACTGAATATACATTTTAATATGGTTTAAATGACTCTCGCCAGTTTGGCTCAGTGGATAGAGCATTGGCCCACCAACTGAAAGGTTGAGGGTTTAATTCGTGGGCAGGGGCACATGTGGGAGGCAACCAATCAATGTATCTCTCTCACATCAATGTTTCTCTCTGTCTCTTCCACTCTATCTAAAAATCAATGGAAAAATGTCCTCAGGTGAGAATTAACAAAAAAATAAAATGGTTAAATGGCAAATGCAAATTTTGTATATATATTTTACACAATTTTTAAAATTAGTAATATACCAATAAAGGCTAGATTGTACCCTTTTAATGGGTTAAATATATGGTATGGGAATTATATCTTAACTAGAGGCCCGGTGCACAAAAATTTGTGCACTCGGGGGGGGGGGAAGGGGAGTCCCTCAGCCCGGCCTGTGCCCTCTCGCAGTCTGGAACCCCTCAGGAGATAATGACCTGCTGGCTTAGGCCTGCTCCTGGGTGGCAGAGGGCAGGCCCAATCCCTAGGTGCAGCCCCTGGTGGGGCTCAGAGCAGGGCTGATTGGGGAGTTGGGGCGCCGCCCCCTGTCATGCACAGAGCAGGGCGGATTGGGAGGTTGCGATGCCACCCTCAGTCATGCTCAGGATAGGGCTGATTGGGGGGTTGGGGCACCACCCCCTATCACACTCAAGGCAGGGTCAATGGGGAGGTTGCGGCGCCACCCCCTGTGATGCACAGAGCAGGGCCAATCAGGGGTTGGGGCAGTGTCCCCCCCCTCCCCCCGTCAAGGACAGAAGCAGGGCCTTGGGGCAGTGCCCCCCCTCCCCCCCTCACACTACGAATAAGGGCCAATATGGGGGAGTGGGAGCTCTCCCCCTCGCATACCCAGGAAGATGGCTAATAGGGGTGTTGGTTCCCCTGTCCTTAGCTGACATCATTTAGGAAAGACACGGGGTTTTGGCATAACACTGAAAACATAACGAGGAGGACAGGGGGGTTGGTTAGGTCCTCTCCCTTCAACAGATATTATGACCATAGTAGATTAGTGGTGTAGCACTTCCCCCTCTCACTACTCACAACGCAACACCATC